CTTTATCACTTTACATCTAAGACTAACACTAACCCTAAACCGAACACAAACCCAACCTTAACCCTAACCCTAACACAAAACCTAACTATAGTCCTAACCTTAATCCTAACTCTAACCCTAAACCTAACCTTAACCTTAACGCAAACTCTAACCCTAATCCTAACTGTAATCCCAAACCTTAACTACTAATCTTTAACACAGGTGTTATAACTAAATCCCTAGCCTAACCCTAAGCTTAACCCCAAACTTAAGACAATCACTCCAACCCTAACCCTAAATTTAACACGAACCCTAACTCTTGCCCTAACTACAACCCTAACCCTTATACTAACCCTAACCCTACCACAAACCCTAACTCTAATGCTAAAATGAAATCAAACTCTAATTCTAACCCATAGCGCTTAATCCTTAACACAGGTGTTATCAGTTAAGCCTAAACCTAACTCTAAACCTAACTCTAACAATTAGCTTTTCATCCTTAACACAGTTATTATCACTTAACCCCTAACCTTAACACTAACACTAAGCCTAAACCTAACACAAACCCTAACACTAACACTAACCCTAATCCTAACACAAATTTTTAGCATAACTCTAATTTTAACTATAACTCTAACCCTTAACTACTAAACTTACCACAAGTGTTATTACTTAATCCCTAACCAAAGCTAATCTTAACCGTAAACCTAACATAAACCCTAACCCTTACCTGGTGTATATTTTAAGAAAAACTTGTGTAAACACTAGTTATATCAATGATCCAACAGACAACCTCTAGATATCCCCTTCCAAACAAAACACTCCCACCCCTCCACCATTCTCACTTTCATAATTGTTATGTTTGTATTTAAAAACTTTTTCATGAATATGTTTGTATTTCTGAATATTATAGCTAAATAATCCCTATTATTATAAGTAGTCAGTATTGTACATTAAAACCCCCAGTTTCAATAAGTATTACTTTATGGTCAATCTCATTTACATGATACCTTCACTTCCCCGTCTTGACAGAATTACTAATTTTAATATTTTCCCCTTTTTCTAGACAGTAGCTTCTTGAAGTTAGGAATTTTTCTTTGTATCCCTAGCACCTTGTAGACTCTGGCTATATAGTACATGTTCTATAAACATTTTTTTCATGGAATCTTAATTCTTTCTTCTTCTGGGAAGACTTCATGCCGCTGTTTCCTGAGGTTAGAATGCACAGAATTTCCAGAATGGAGAAAACAAATGATATGTAGGGATGGTTTGAAGTCTGCTGCTTATTGCCTAATAAGAGCTCTGAGTGGCTCAGGGACCAAATGCGTACACATGCTTTTGTATTTCTTTTTAGCTGCTGCGCGCAGTGAGCCACATCCCGAGGGGGCTCCCTCTGAAGGGGCCTCCGAGAGCCGCCGGGAGAGGCCCGCGGAGAGGGTGAGCGGTGATCTTTTTGCTGTTTCCGTTTCTAACATGGAGAGCAGGGCTTGTGGGAGGGTTCGTATTCCTCGGACGGTCCGCACAGGACTTCGTGGCACCCTGCTAAAGAAAAGGTGGGTTCGGGACCCAGTACATAAAAGGAATGTGGGGTCCTTCAGAAAGCTGAGTAAACCCGAACTTAACTGGTGACTTAGGAAGGGCTTAAGATTGTAAATAAAATTATTTCAGGACTGCGGAGCTGTCGTTACGGTTGATTCCCGTGGTTCTCTAGGGCTCCGTGACGTGATTTACGAAGGGTTTTTTGCCTGTTCTAACCCTCCCTTAGTAGATGAGAACACACTCTTTTCTTCAGATAGAAAGAATATGGATGTTATGTAGTTTAAAAGTCAAGATGGCCTAGGCTTCTTAAAAGAAAAAAACAGTATTATGATTCTTTAATGCATGATAAATGAGAGCCTAGCACTAAACAAACACTTGGGGTGCTGCTGGTGAGGCCCTGGGCTGCCAATAAAAGCCGTTTGAATCCATCAGCCACTCCGGGAGGGAAGCCGAATCTACTCCTGGGGAGGTTTGAGGCCTTGGGAACTGTGGGGCAGCTGTGCTGTGCAGTGCAGTGGGGAGCCTATTGAGGTCAAGACCACCACCCTCTCTGTGGAAAAATCTTCTCTTGTGAAGACTTACCGTCTCAGAGGCCAGAGGGACCGCCCTAGCCTGTCCCCCAGGGTCACCATCGTGGGAATTGACCTGATGCAGTGAGCATGAGTAGAGTATGAGTCGAGTAGAGATGGTGGCATGGGTTTAGTGGTGATTCACCCAGTGGACTAGGAGCCCTGACAGCACCATGGGTAAGTGCTTGAAAGGTCAGTGGTTCTACACGGGCCCCCTCCCACTAACTGCTCTGCTGAGAAAAACAAACCAGAACTGGGAGATCTAGTTCTTCAAAGAGGAGATTCTAAGAAGCCCTAGGGAATGGCTCTGCTTTGTCATGTTGGACCATTACGGAGTGGACACAGCAGCACCATCCACAGAGGAGCATCTCTCCGCAAGCTTGTCTCTGTGCCGTCCAGGTTCGGAAAAGGGCTCGCTCCCGGAAAAATAGAAACAGTTCGGTAGAAAGCTTGTTATATTAAAAACCATTGAGGTTTTTGAATCCTACATTATTTAATATAAAGAAAACCTCGATTCAACGTCTTTTAGCATCGTGGGTGAAGTGTTGGGCTGCTAGTCAGAAGTCTGGCTGTTTGAATCCACTGGCCACTCCATAGAAGAAAGGTGAGGCTGTCGGCTCCTGCAAAGGTGTACAGTCTTGGAAACTCACAGGGGCAGTCCTGTCCTGCCCCGGCGGCTTGCTGTGAGTCAGAGTCCACCTGATGGCAGTGGGTTTGCACACTTGAACTGATGTGAAATCAGGTAAGTCCCTCCACATTGCCCCACCAGCCTCCCTGTCGCCTCACAAGAACGGTGTAGCCTGAGGGTCCCAGAAAGGGTGAGTGTCTGCTAAAAGTTCACTGTCTATAACACGGTCTAAAAAACAAATGGTGCTAAGAAGACAGTAGCATTCAATTAATATTTGTTAATGAATTAATTGAAAGTAACACTGTAGTTTTTTAATTGATGATGGTTATAAGTTAGGTCTGGAATATATTTATATTTATATTATGAGAATACATTTATGTCATTTACTATGAAAGGAATAAAGGAATTATATAAAATCAGTCAGAGCATTGATATCCAGAACAGAGAGGGTGACTCAACGTTGATAAACAAAGCAGTTAAAGAGATACTTTGTAGGAATTAGATTCCTGTTTCTATTTCAGAGTGATTTTACTTTCTTTTAAAATTATTTTCCACATGCTGTTTAGGAAACCACATAGTAGGTATTTTTTTTGATCACTCTATAAAGAATAATGCGTATTTCACTTGGCAAAATTTAAAGATTTGCAAAATCTTTATTCTTATCCTGAATAATACCAGCGCCTTAAATTAAATCCCCAAACAGACTGCCACTGAGTTGATTTAGGCTCCGAACAGCCCTCTAGGTAGGGCCAAACAGCACTCTTTCCTGGGCTTTAACTCCTAGTGGTGGATTAGAACCGCTGACCTTATGGATTGCAGCCACTACAACGCCACTACACCACGGAACTGCAGAAGATTGCAGTTAAATCACTATCCTGCTGACTTAGCGTCCTTTTAAAGCATTTTCTTTCTCACTTTATCGCTTTCCGTTCTTTCTCTTTTCCCCATGAATTAAATTGTCAGTGACTTTTAAGAGTTTAGTCAACTAAGTTCATAAAGAAGGAGCACATCAGCCTGTGTGATCCAAGAATTGTAAATAAAATCCAAATCCGAAGGAGGGAACCCTAATAGAGCTGAAATTCTGAATAGTTGTTTACAGCAGGCTATGGATGGCAGGGAAAGCCCCACAGCTGTTGGCAGCGTCCCCACGTGGATGAGGTCCCTGCTGACCATAGTCCAGGGATGTGCAAGGCCTTGCAGGCCGACTGAGCCCCGGGAGGACTGAAAAGTCTACTATGAAAGAGGTAGCTAGGTTAAAAGGTAACGACACCTTATCCTGTGGTCTTCCTTTGGACCCATGTTAAAGTTGTTTCCATTTTTACTGTTGTCTGCTTTCCTAGCAATTGAGGGTTTT